TCGTAATGTGGCATAATGAAAAATCGAGTTTTCTGGAAAACTGATGAACGGTAATAGCTAAAAACTTGAACTAAAAACGAAAAAGTGTTCCATTCAGTTTTTAGTCAGTCATGAAAATATGAAGCCGTAGTGAGTTTTAGTTTTTATTTCACAGCATTTGTACGAAAGCCCAAAAAGAGAAGTGGTACCCTTAGAGAAACGCTTCCGGCTCCGGGCGTGGATTACTCGTTTTACCCCAGCTTTTGACTATTCGATCATAAGGAAAAACCAGTAATATCTTTATTGTGACTGATTACAGAGTGGTGACTTAGGATTCTCAGAAATAAATTCAAAAAGAGGATCGTTAAAATTGTTTCAATTCGGAAAGATGCTATTGTATCTTGGCTATCCCAATCGACGAAAAGCCGCAGTTATACAGGAAGACACCAAGTGCATTCTATTATGAGACGGACTCGGTAGTTTATTACGCTAAATTATTATGTTTTACAGAGCTCATGCTGATTTTGCAATTAAACTGCCAAAGGACCTTGATCCGGTCAACGCTGCGCCACTGTTTTGTGCTGGTGTAACGGCGTACAACGCTCTCAAAGTATCAAAAGTTCGACCCGGTACGAATTTATTCGTACATAGTAATCATTTCAACATGTATAACATCATTTAGGTCAGTGGGTGTCAATCGTCGGAATCGGAGGGCTTGGATCGATAGCTGTCAGCTATGCAAAAGCGATGGGAATGAATATTATTGCGGTCGTTCAAGAAAATGATAAAGTGAGAATTAAGACTTAGCAAATCATCACACTGAAATGGGATACTTTTCAGGCCGCATCAAACCTAGCAATGAGCATTGGAGCCAATTTAGGTCAGTAATGAAAGAATAAACACCCATGTCGTTAAAATCGCTCCTTTCTGGACGATTACTTGCGATTAGCAATAAAACCGCCAATTATTCACAATTCTGACTATAATCGTCCATAAATTGCGATATATCGGCGATTTTTAACAACTGGCGACTAATCGGCTTGCGTGCAAAATCGCCAGTTGTTAAAAAGCACCGATATATCGCCATTCTTAAAGATCCTGGTAATTTTTCTGTTGTTTTAATAATGGTCAATTAATTGTGATTAATTGTTGATTTTATGCTATTAAATGGTTTTTTGTTATTTACCGTTTTATTTTGCAGTAGAGTAAGTATATAAGAAACATGATTTCAACGAGAAATGTTCTTCTTTTCAGATTATCTTTTTAGTTTTAGCTTAAAATGGAGTTGACAAGGATGTTCTCTGTAGTTTCTTCAGAGTTGACTCATTATTTCGATTTCAGTCAGCTTTGAACCGAGGAGCCGAGCTGACTGTTAAACTAAAAACTCGCCGATTTATTGACGATTGAGCGCACGATAAATCGGCTGAGTAATCGCTAAAAAATTATCGATTTATTGCCGATTTTGACTACATGGGCATATATAACAGTAATTTCGTGTCTTTCTTTTTTACAGTATATGACGGACCTGCTGATAAACATGGTCAATGGATTCAGGAACATGTCGGAGGTGTGCATGCGGCCATTGTTGTTGCTGTTGCGATCGTTGCCTACGAACAGGCTCTTATTTCATTGAGATCCGGAGGAAAATTAATCGCTGTGGTAAGTTTTGTTTCATTGTGAATAACATTTTGTGTTTCATTCTTTCGACGTTGATCATAAATTTTCGAATTATGACTCAACTGGTATATACGCCTAAAACCACTTGAACTTCTGTTTGATAGAGAAAAATAGTTTTTAAATAAGATGTTATATGAACACATTCTTGAATTTCTTAAATCGAAGCGAAAAATGAAATACAAAACGAACTGATACCTTTTGGGGCTTAGGTTTCGTGACATGTGAACTAGTTTAGGCATTACCAGTCGGAAAACTCTCAATTCCAATATTTGAAACAGTTTTGCGCTCAATTCAAGTTATCGGTAGTGTAGTCGGCACAAGACAAGATATGAGAGAAGCACTTGAATTGGCTAGACAACACAATATTAAGTGTACTGTTCAAAGTCGACCACTCGAAGATATTAATCAAATACTTGATGATATGCTCAACTATCGTATCAGTGGACGAATTGTCATCAATTTTAGAACATGAAGCATGTTGAGGTTCTTCACCGAATCATTTCTTTAACATGTATTTTTCAATGGTATCTAATGGTAAATAATATTTGAATAGATTACTACGCTTAAAATGGTTGAGAACTAAGACATTTAACACTGAGCAAGTTTTAGTTGATCTTCATTGCACTTCTCTAGGACATTTGTTGATGGTGCTTGATGACAGTAACTTTTTTTACAAATATGTATGTTCGTTAACGAGATTCAGCCATCTATCACACATCCCAGCTAAGCTAATGAATTTCTAGCATTTTCAGCCATGAAAGGACGAAAAAAAATGAACAACTTCAATAACTTTTGAAAGAAGCACCAGGGAGAGACCTCGTTTTAGGGTTGTTACCAACTTGCTCTGCTCTGTGTATGAACAAATGAATCATTTGAACCAAAGTTAGTCATGTCCAACGGCCCCTCATAAGCCAAATGACAAGATGGGAGATAATGCGCTTCGAACAATTACCACTGATGTTATGTATACCTATTTTTGTATTTTAAATTGTTGTTCAAATACTTCTTCATAAGTTATTTCTGATCGTTGATGTTCCCAGCTCTTCACGATCTTTCTTTGCAAAGTTATAGAATTTACAAGAAAAGTCCTAAATTCATTTCTTATTTCTGTAGCTTTGAGCTGACAATGAACATTTAGGTCTCATTGCAAAAACAATTTGACAGCTAAATCGGTTCCCTCGTAAGTGAACGCTCTGATAGCATGAACGTTCCAAGAGATGTTTGGCAATTCCATTTTCACCACATGCCCAAAATTGACTATTAACTAGTTGCTGGATAAATCATAGTTTAACCCAGAGAAACTTCAAAAGTAGGGCCTGCGGTTTTTTCAGTTTTTTTATGTAACTCCTCCGAACTCTTGCCGAAGAAAGGCAGTGTGGAAGGTATGAACTAACACTAAATTTACTAGCATTTTTAATGGACTTGAGCCCCATTCTCCTCCCCGATGTAGCGAACTCTTAAGAATGAAGTTTTATGATACTCTCAAAATTATCATGCATTAGTCTAAAAAACTCTGAAATTTGCCATGCGTTTTTCTTTAAGACATTAACTCGCGATCGACAGGAGTTACATTTTAAATCCGAAAAGAGACTGCTTTCACAAGATTTTTCACTTATTTCTGAAAAAGAGTCTCAACCTTCACTTTTGAATCCTGATTATTTTACGTTCAATAACCCCAACTACCACTCTCTCCATAGTGAGACATAAAAAATACATTGCACTAGCCGGGAATTGAACCCGAGTCGCACGAATGGGAATCTTGCATGATAAGGCGCGCGTAATTCAAACTTACCGAGGGTCTTTATTTTTGAACGAAAATGTTATGATCTGCCATTCCGGGCAGCTCATAAGACTATGTTCTCTTGTTCTTTTCCTTTCTTTCTGCTCTTACGCAATACTTGTGTCATCCTCTGGTTTTCCCAACTCTTTCTGTTCTTGCGCAACTCTT